ACACACACACACACAAGCACAACAAAACAAAAAGAGAGAGAAAAAGCCCGTGATTCCACGCACACACACGCCATTTTTTTCCTCATATTTTGTGGCTGACGTTCTTCGTCTTTTTTCTTTTCGTTTTCCCATTACTTTTTGCGCGCGCCTCCCGCTCCGCGCCGCCTCAAGAGTGCGCGGCGTCCTCCGCCTCGTCGTCGTACACGCCTACCATGCGCCGCAGCTTGTGGTCGAACTCCATCGTCTCCAGCACCAGCTGCGGCAGCGAGAGCTGCCACAGCGAGGCGCAGATGAAGAGCGGCTGCAGCAGGACGCCAAAAACAAAGAGGACGCAGAGCAGCATAAACTCGTTCGCCGCATCAAAGTACATCCTGGGGTTGAATACAAGGAAGATCAGGTTGACCGAGACGCATAGGAGCGGCACCGAGTACGGCACAACGATTAAGAGCGGCGTCATGACCGCCAAGGGGATTGCCCAAAACAATGCACCGGAGGCGGCAAAGAACAGGCACGAGAAGACCAGAAGACGCAGCCTCAGATATCGTGGCACCGCCGACCCTGGCGGCAGCGAGCACTGCCGCGGCACGAGGTACGCCGACAGCTGCACCTCTGGAAAGTGGGGACCGGACTGAGCGTCGCTACGCAGCCAGCTGTCAAGGATGGAGAGGTGCTGCTCATCGAAGAGAAAATCCTCCAGGTGAACGACGTGACGCGCAAGAAACATAACAACTCCTCGAAGGACCTTCAACTGCATGCGCTTCATTGGGAATCGCCTCATGCAGAAAATAGCCGTTCCTGCGCCAAACACGATCAGTGCATTTGCCGCGCAGTTCAACCAGTAAGGATTATCCATGAGCCAGGCAAACACCCCTCGCGAGAGACGCGCGAGGTAGCACGCCAAGCAGACCAAGAGAGAGAGCAGGCTTTCAGAGCCATCGTCCACCAACGGCCTCAGTTCCGAGGCGAGGTCGAAGTCTAGCCACGCACCGACCCCGTCGCCTCCAGGTCCCACGATGGCTACAGGGAATCCAGAGGCAAGCGGCAGCGTGAGGTTTCCACTTGTCCCGCTCTCCGTCAGCGCCCCATACGCGGTAAACATGACGTAAAGGGGGGCGGCCAAAAACACATACAAAACGGTTAACTCAATGCAACACAGGCAGACAAAATCCACAACAATGCGAAGCGGGTCGACGTCAATGACTTGGGCCAAGATGACACTCCAGTAGTCGCCATCATCTTCCACGTCCATGTCCACACTTCGAGCAAAATATAATTGGACATTCGGAGCAAAGAGGGGAAACAGGATGCTCGCCTCCACCTGCAGCAAAACCAAGCAACAGAAGAACCCTATCAGCCAATAAGCCAGAACTCGTATCGGTGAGAGTTCACCAATAAGTGCCGATAACGATGCCGGAAACGTTAGCAGGTATGGGGATAAGGCAAAGTGCACAACAACCCCCGCAAAGGTGGAGAGCAAGATTGAACACAGCATCTCTGTGACATAGGCAATGTACCATAGGGCGATGTCCAACGCCGTTGCGCCTTCCTTGTACTCTTGGGCCTCGGTAAAACGAAGGACCGGGTCGGTGATACGCTTCCTTGGGTATAGAAAGCGACCAAACCCGAGACCCGCCGCCAGGACTAAGATGAGCAACGCCTGCCCAGGCGTGTGCCCCAGAAGAACTGAAACCGGCACAAGGACTCCGAGTTCCACCATCCGTGGGATCAGTTTCTTTCGCGAGCTGCCTGTCCACTCCAAGGCGGCGTCCAACGTCCAATGCAGCGTCCCCACCGTTGTGCTAGGCCCCAGGCCGAACTCCGCGTCCTCATCATCTTCTTCCTCCGCCTCTTCCCCTTCTTCATCCTCCGCCTCCGCCTCCGTTGCCGTTGCTGTTGCCGTTGCCGTTGTCGACATCAAGCCTGTGTGAGAAAAAAACTCCTGCCACTTGCCCCACACTGATGCCGTACATCGCCACAGCGAGACCCAAGTCCAGCCGTAGACCATAACACTAAGCCAAAACCAAACACCACTGAAGGCTAAATCACTCTCGCCCTCCGCCAGAGAGGGGTGCAACGAGGTACCGTTGATGCCAGTGCTTGCGGAGGCGTTGTATGCCAGCGGCGCTTCACTCTGGCCCAAAAAGAAATACTTATGATAAAATGCGACGCCAATAATCCATGGCACGACGAAACCGTTTATCGTGCTACCAACCAAGAGCACCAGAGCCTTGGCGCACAAGGGCAAGAACAGCTCCCAGAAGAGAAAGCTCAACTGTTCAAAACAGGTCTGCGGTAACTCTACCTCACCTATCGCAAAAATCTTATACGCTGCTCCACAGCTTGGGCAGTTAGAGCGACGCTGTGAAAGCACCCAGGCGTCAATGCACTCACGGTGTACCCAACCGACGGACCCACGGCATTTGCACACGTTCGTAATCAAAGGATTTTGGGCAGTGTCTCCACCAAAACGACATATCCAACACTCCATTTCGTCGTCATGGTCCCTCTCTGTGGTCCCATTTGCATCCGTGCGGAAGCCGGGCCCCGCAGTCTCGCTTTGCTGCGCCTGCTGCTTTTGTCGTCGCTCCTCGTCCCCCGCAAGTCCCAGGTGTTCCGGCTTGGCCCCATGTTTCGTGGAGGGCAACGCCCCTGTATTCCCCGCAGCTGCCTTCGGCGTCCCTCCTCCGCGGGGGAGGGCGCACTCGAGACCTGGTGGCGCCGCCGCCGCCGCTGCGCCCGACTCCCGTGACGTCGGAAACGACATGAAGTCGCAGGCGCAGCCGCCGCACGGCGACGGAAAACCGCCCACTCGCGGCTCCCCCTGTTCGCACAAAACTCGGCACGGCCTTCACACCGCGCCGCCTACCTTTTGTCCTCTCTCCGCCTGCACTTGCCTCTTCCCGTTACTTCTTCTTTGCACTTCTTCTACCGCCCCTGCAGTGGCCTCACCGTAGACGCAACCCCCCAAACCCACCCACCCACCCACAAGCAACGACAAGAGAACGCGCAAAGGGAGGAAAGTCAAATGCCCTGTCCGTTTCCAGGCCACCCCGTAGTCCCCGCAACCGCAGACTGTAGGCGCGAAAGGGGCAGAAGCGACGCGGCAGCGAGAGGAACTGAGAGACAGCAGAATACGGGGAGGCGCCACACGCGGTGAGCCGACAAATTCATTGCGTCGAAGCAAAAAAAAAAACACACACGACTGAAACTTGGCATATTTTTGCGTTCGTTTAAAATATACTTGGTTTTTATTTTCGAGGAAGGGCAGGGGCGAGGAAGACACCTCAAATGGAAACGCACAGGGTTTGAAAAACCAAACACACACACAAAAAAAAGGATAAATCACAAGCCCGAGCAAGTGTCGTGCCGCCTAATTACATGGCTTCACGCGGTTTCCCCCAAGTCGGAGATTTCAAGTACGTCTTCCTCCGAGGTCAAAACGGTGGTCATCTGGTTCTCCCGCCTCTCAAGGCTCTTCACATACGCGTCGTACACGAGACGCTGCGGGCAGCTGTTTCGCACCTCCTTAACAAACCGGCTATCCGCAACGTACAGGATACGGTCCGCGTAGCACTCGACGTCAGAATTGTGTGTGACCATGATACACGTCGTCTTGGTCATGCGGTTGAGGCGCAGCAGCAGGTCCATCACCTGGATCGTGTTCAGCGTGTCCAGGTCCCCGGTGGGCTCGTCTAGGAGCAGCAGCTGCGGGTTGTTGGCGAGGCTGCGGGCGATGGTCACCCGCTGCTGCTCCCCGCCACTCAGCTCGGAGGGCAGGTGGTGTAGGCGGTTGCGCAGCCCCACGAGGGTCAGCAGCCGAGAGGCACGCAGTCGCCGCTCCCTCCTGGACAAGACGCCCCGCAGCGTCATGGGGAGCTCCACGTTTTCCAGCGCGGTCATCGTAGAAATCAAATTAAACGTCTGAAAAACAAAACCAATCTTGCGCAAGCGGAAGTCGGCCAGCACACTGTCGGGAGTACTGCTGTTCACCACCGTCCCCATGAGCTCGACGGTGCCGGAGGTCGGCAAGTCGATGGTGCCTATGATGCTCAGCAAAGTCGTCTTGCCCCCGCCGCTGGGGCCACGAATCATAACAAACTCGCCACGGCGGATCGGGCCAAACCCGTCCCTGCCACACCCCTCGCAGAGGTTCACGTCGCGCAGCGCAACCACGCGGTCGTCCGTACCTTCAATGGGGTAACTCTTCTCAAGCTTGCGCAGGCGCAGCACAACGGCGTTTTCATCTTCCTCGGGGCTGTGACTCATCTGCGGCACAAGCACATTTGCGGCGGCACGTTGCCCGCGGCCCTCGTCGGTTGGACCCTCCTCATTGAAAATGGGAGTCCGCCAGCCCGCGCCATCGTTCATTCTTCCAGCCGCTAAAAAGTTGACAAAGACGCCCGACCGGCCTGCCTTAAAAGCTGCTGGCAACGACACCTCCGCCTGCGCACGGGCACACTCGCAGGTAAAAAGGGGGAAGTAAACCGCAGAATGCCAGGGTGAGAGTTGAGAAAAGGTGGGGCACGCACGGAAGCACCCAGCCCCGCACAGCGCAGGAAGGACAGCAGCCGCAGCTCAGACCCAAAGGAAGAGAGAAGAGAGGCGCGGTGAAGAAGAGACTTCCAAAAGGGGTGCAAACTAAACCAGCATTGCCCTGGCAAGCACACACGGAAGAATATAAATATATTATAAACGGAGAAAAATAAGAGACAAGGCGCAGCAACGGCAACATAAATAAAGAGCTCCAAAAGCATCAACGCTTACTGGGGAGGAAGGGACTAGAGTCAGAGCATCGGCGGATTGACAACAACGAATCGGTGAGGGGGAAGGAAGGAAACACACCGGCCTCCACCCCTCCACACACACACACACAGGGAGAGACACACAGAGCGTAGAAAGAAGAAAAAAAAGAGGTGACTTGAACAAATGTTGCAGTGACAGGAGCTCAGCAACGAGGCTAGGCTCCAGGGAGGGCGGTGCTCAGATTTTTTCGCCCTGTTCATGGGCCTGGCTTGCCTCCACCATTTCCACCTCACTCACATCCTCTACCGGGACCTCCGCGTACGCGTGCCTCACCTCTTGCGGCTCCTGCGGACGCGCCTCCCGCGCCTCTCGCGCGAGCAAAACCGGCGGCACGGGGGAGAGCAGCTCTTCAGCGGAATCAAGGCTGAAATTATCGCCCAGCTCCTCCTCGCCGCCACCGTCGGGCGACGCCAGCACCGCCACCTCCTCCGCGGGAATCTCTGCCAAGGCAAAGTCCTCGCTGGGCACCCGGGGGCAGCAGGAGAGAGCTACGCAAAGGCCAGCCGAAAGACACACGACACACACAAACAAAGTCAGGCCAATAAAGGTGTGCAAGCTGCCCGCGGAACCACCGCGCGGTGAAGGTGACAAATCACCAAAAACCGAAGAAGGGACTGTAGATGGAAGAGATCGGGTGCAATACACCCGCAAGGGAAGCGCATCTTTGTCGTTCTCTTCCTGTGCAACCCAGGATTCGCTCGGTGCGAGATATGCCGCCGCAAGGTACTTTGCACTGTCACCTGTCACCGATGCCAGCGATGCACTATACAGAAGAGTGAAGGAGATATTTAACCCGCCGTCTTGGTCACTCAGTGTGCGACCTATACTAATTCTGGCATACCTACAGTCACTTTTTACTTCAATTTTTTCCTCACTTGTCGTGCTGAGCATCCCACCAGGATTGCCGTAGAGCACTGCTGCCCTCAGCGCCATTCCGTCCCGCCGCCTTGTGAAGAGACCCTTCTCAAAGGCCAGGTACACGTCGGCCCTTCTCCACCTGGACGAGGAATGCCTCAGGGCAAGTTGCAACTCCTCATTGACAAGAAGTGTGACCCGGGCGGCAGCCCCCTTTTCGCCTTCCCGCAGCTCCAGGGCCTTTTTGTTGGCATCCACCGCCACGCCGCAGTCCCACCCCGCGCGCCCCTCATCACAGACGCAGAAACCGCCGCCCCACGCATCACAGAACGCGGTTGCAACGCATGAAACGCTGCAGTTGGGGTGTGTGGACTTCTCAAAACCGTAGCGCAGCAGGAATCCCCGACGAACGTGCGACCATTGGGAGGAGAAGACGACGGACAAAACATTAGAGGCAGAAAAAAAAACTACGCCTTTGGCGCTCGTACCGGTGTCCGCACGTGCGGGTCCCGTTTCCTCGGTCGCGTCGTTGTACAGGAGGACCACGTCCATCGGGCTCTCCACGTCAAAGCTGAGGTACTCCAACCGCACTCGACGGCCCCGCGGGGCCACAATCATCCACCGGCACACCAGCATGGGGGAGTAGGAGCCGTACCCGTTCACTTGAATGTAGCCACCGGCGGCGTCATTCACCACCACCGGCCAGCCATCCTCCCTGCACCAGTAGCTTCGCAAGTTACAATTTTCGCCGGCAAAGTCCTGACAGCAAAACTCGCAAGCTGGACCCGCGAAACACCCCGATCCACCCCACGTTTTTGTCCATTGGACAGGCGCATTCGCCAGTCACCACGTCGCACTTGCCCCTGTTGCTACACTTGCAGTCGGAAGAACACGACGGTCCGTACCACCCCGATTTGCACGAGGAACAGTTTGCGTCGGCAAAGTGCTCATTGTCACAGGTGCACCGCAGCTCCTTTGCCTCACACGTCCCATGCCCATGACAAACGGTTTCCTCGTCGCAAATAGAGCAATCAACAAACCGATACCCGGCGTGGCACTTGCAGACACCCCCAACGCAGTCGCCGTGTCCACTGCAGTTGTTGGCGCACCTCACATTGGGCATGACGTCCGCATCGCCCACGTACCTCAAACTCGGTCCAGACACCACAAGGGCGTACGGCTGTTTGATCCCCGCGTGTACGCTGCCGCCGTAAACCAAGACGCGGAATCCTGCGGCCAATTCCCAGGATGGTGGCAAACGAATTTGCTCCATGACATTCGTGGTGTCGAGGGTGTTGTTGCTGCCAGCAAAGTGCAAGACACCTGTGGAGTCCACCACTACCACGTCGAGATCGTTGACCAACGACTTCAGCGAGCCCTCCATCGCGGCCCCGAGGTCCGTCCAGGCAAGTGTCACACGCACCATTTCGTCTACTTCAGGTGACACAGGCCCCAGGGTAAAATGGTGCACGTTACTAGTGTGATGGTCAATAAAATTTCTGTCGCGGAACCACCCGCGAATGCCAGTTGGAGTAAAAAAAAGAGACATGTCAAGACGGCCGAACCCACTCATCCGCGAGTTATTCAAATTCACGGTGGCGTGAATCAGCAACGCCTTCAGCAACGCGGCGGACGGAGAGGAGACGTTCTCCAGCTTGCGGAGGTGGTGACGCATCAGCGCCGCCGACCCCGCCAAGGCGGCAGTTGCCATGGAGGTCCCCCGCATGCTAACGACGGTGCACTGTCGCGTGGAAATGTTGCCGTCAGAGAGGGCAGAAATGATGCTGTCGCCCGGAGTCACAAGCTCGGGCTTCACGCGATGGTCGTACGTCGGCCCCGGAGACGAAAACCCCGCGATGATGTTTTGCTCGTATCGATCGAAACTGTTCTTGTGCGCCCCAATACAAATCATGTTCTTGGCTCGACAAGGAGTTAGCAAGCCGGAGTTGGGGGTATTGCCGGCTGCAAAGATGATGAGGGCATCCTCCATCTGGCTTGCCAAGGAGTCCATGCTCTTTTCCACCGCCGTGTACTCGCCCGGGGCAAAAAATCCCCACGAATTGGAGAAGATATGCGCCCCCTCCTTATAGCCAGGCCGAAACACATCCGTGATGTCAACCGGGAGCGTCAGCATGGACTGGCTGCGGGCGCCAAGGCTCGTGAAAAAGAGCTTCGCTCCTTTGGCGACGCCGTCGTACTTGGAATTCTCCCCGTTACCGAGCATGTGCCCTGCCACCGTGCCCGCCACGTGCGTGCCGTGCCCTCGCTCTTTGTCGCCAATCAACACCTCGCCAGGGAATAAATCGCTCGGAACAAACGACACCACCTTGCGGTGGCGATGGTTCACTTTTGGGTAGAGCGTCACGGACTCCTTGGGGTCGTGGAAGAAGCAGCTGTCGAAGTCGACGCCGCTATCCGCCACCCCGATCAATTCCCCACTGCCGTTGATCCCCCCGCCCCAGAAGGGACGAAACGGCTGCGCCTCATCCTGCTCCCCATGCTGTACGAGCGCAGTCGCGTGGAAGTTGAGCGGGGCAACCTGCTCAACAGCCACCTCCATCCACCGCACCGCGGGGTGCCGCACTACCGCGTGGATGAAGGCGGCGCAGCGACAGATGAGGCTCGCCTCCTCGTCCCCGTCTTGTCGCCCCTGTGAAGCAAGTGCCAGCACCCATCGCACGTGTCCCTTGCCAGCAGGCGAGCTAACAATGTCCCAGCGACACCCCACTGACACGTCGGCCGCCTTCCGGAGCACACCTCGCAGTGACTCCTCCACAACCTCCTCTCTCCCCACGGCCGTACGAACGTCCAGCGGCAACCGCCACCGGGAGCCGTGCTCTGCCAGTCGATTAAAGTCCTCTTCACCACCACGACCAGCAGCACCATGCAGGGCACCACAGCTATTCATGGAACGGCGAAGTACACGCGAGAGCTTGAGGTGCGCCCCGGCGGAAGTGGAGTAGACGTCCAACACCGTCAGAAGCGACAGCGGCGGCGCCGCGCCGTCATCGGCGGCCTCAACAGCTCTTCGAAGCCGGTTGGCACGCGGGGAATCAACATAAACGAGCATGTGCAATTCGTCAATGATGTGGATGTCTTCCAGGCCATGCTTCATCAAGGCGTACCACACCTTCCGCCGCTCCCCCCGACTGAGTTTGCCGAGTCTCACAATGATGTAGCGACCGTAGTTCGACTCTAGAGGCCACGCACCCGCCCCTGCAACCCCTGCCATGCGGGCGGTGTGCGCTGACCCGTGCACTCGGCGCGGAGTGTGCGGGGCCGCCAGGTGGGATGTTGAATTGTCTGCGAGGGGTATATATTGCTGCCGCGGCTGGCGGTGGTGGTGCTGCTGCTGCAGGAACCAGTAAAGTGGCGCCTCATGCTTTTGCGACCATTCCGCGCCAAGCCACTTTTGCAGGGGACTCCGCTTCCACGCAGGGGACTGCGAGGACTCGGCGGCGGCGGCGGCGGCGCAACGGCTCGTGCCACACAAAAGGCACAAAGCCAGCACCGCCAGCAATGTGGAAAGCGCTGACATTAAACACGTCGGTGACGTCCCGGGGAGCATCGCCCCCGCTAATTCCGTGCCTCACTGCCGCTGCCAAAGAAAAGTGGTGCTCCGCTCTTTTTTTCTCTTCTCCCTGGTGATGGTGCCTGCGCCACACGACGCTCGGTGCTGTCGACGCTTGTTGTGTGCGGCGGGGTGGGGAGGGAGAGATAGAGACGTAGATATCGAAATGCGTTGACTCGGCTGCTGGAGCAGTGACGCCAGTCCCGCAGACCGCGCGTGTCTGCGATAAAACTGGGCACACACTCACTATAACCTTCCTTCGAGGCCAGAGAGATCAAGAGAGCAAGCAAACATGGATGCTGAAAAAAAAAAAAAAACAAAGGGACCAAACGCACCCGGGCCCTGACAAAGGTCTGCAGAGGGCAGCATTCTTCTCGAGTGCGTCACACTCAGCCACACACGCACACACACACTGGAACGCAGCCGCCCAAGGCGGGTGGAGGATTAAGTGTTAGTTTCAAAAATGAAGCACAGCAGTGCGTGTCCCCTGCGCACAGAGGCCTTACACATATACTTCGCAATGCAGATGTAAGCACACAGGCATATATATGTATATGTACATATATATACATATGGAAACAAACAGGAGGAGAGAGGCAGAGACAAAAAAAAAAGTAGTTACCATATAGAACAAACACACCAAATCGTTTTGAATGACCTAATCGGCTTATTTTATCGGTTGCTTGATATATATATATATATAATGTTTAGTTTTTTTTGTCCCATCGCCCC